TCCTGGGCTGGTCGGTGGTGATGGTGGCTACTGAAGGTAGAGACAGAGAGATGAAGGCAATAGTGGAACAGATAGGCAACTGAGCATTGACCTGCCTGGGAGGGGAGAGTGGAGCCACGGTCCGGAGGAACAGTCCATGGGGGGAACACAAAACAGTAGCTGGCTAGGGAATAAATACATACAAAACAACGAAAGAGCACGGCGAAAAAATGGCCTAGAGACTAGAACGAACTGGCAAGTGACTGAGGAGTGAAACCGGGTAATATAGTGAGCAACCTAATCAAGTGCCGCTGGTGATAAGGGAGTGAGGAACAGGTGAACGTGATTAGTGTTAATGGGCAAGAGACAGTAGGAAAGGTGAGGGAGGCCAGAGTGGCCGAGCAAACCTGACACATTTTGTTTGAAAGCAAATGTGTTGACAACAAAACACAGCCATTACAGGCCTAATAAAATACAAACTGATTTAAATTTCTTACGTGAAAAAAATAATAAAGAAAAACACCACCCACATACTCAAAGAATTGGAGGATGTAACTATTTACATCCTCTCATTCTCTGAGCATTTCATAAGAAACAACATCAAACACCAAACACAACATGTGAGAATGTTCAGACTGTTTAAAAACAGTTCATTTGTGTCTGAAAAGAAGAGGACCAGGAGGAAAAAAGCATCCTCTGTGGATATTTTCAGATGTCAAAGCTAAATAACAGCACCACCCAACATTTTCAGCAGCCTACACACTAAATGAGCTTTAGGCCCCTTCACAAATTGTGTCTAAAGCTCCCAAGGCCATTTAGCAAAACAGATATCTATTGGTAGTATATATAGTAAAACATGTGGCACAGTTAAAACAGCCAGATAATCCAGTATCTCTTTCTCATAACCACCCAAATTCCAATGGTTTTCTTTATAACTTCAGTAATAAAGTTGATTCTAACAAGGGAAAACTTTACTTTTAGGTAGTGGAGCCTAAAGAACCAGAGTGGAAGGTGATGTATCCCGAGGAAGATGCTGAGGGGGTGCTTACAAAACTGTTTGTGCTTCCTTTAGTCTCAGCTTTGCTCAAGTGCTTCTGATGGCCAAAGTCTACTCCAGCACCAGTCTTGCCTCCACCGCCTGTCCTGGGCCTAGAGGCAGAGTGCCCTGGAGTCCGCTGGCTGTCCCTAGGTGAGCCCACTTCAACCTGCTGTTTCCTTTCTTGCAGGCGCTCCCAGCAGTCTTTACCAGAGCCACAAGCCCCGGGGCTCTTCCTTCCATTAGGTCTGTCTGTGTTGGGGGAACCCTCAGGCGAGGTCCCCCGACTACCACTCCTTTTATGTTCCAAGTGTCGCCTAAGTGCTTGAGGTTCACGCTCAAAGTCTGTCAGTGGGAAGTGAGGAAGAATGACTGTGTGCTGTTCATACACACTGGGGATAAGTGAGATGGAGGATGTGCGCCGCGGGCTGTTCCTGGGGCTCGGCAGCGGCGTCTCATCTATAAAGTTGATCACCTCGTCACGGCTGAAACATGGCTCATAGCACTCTCCACCACAAACCACGCGTGGCAGGTGCTTGAGGGAGTGCATACTATCCTCGGAGCATCGCCACTTGTGATGTGGGTGATGGTGATGGTGGCTCTCCTCGTGGTAGAAGACCAGATTGTTCCTGCGCCTCTCGTGGCGCAGCAAGGTGGAGCTGTAGTGGGCACTCATGATCATGTCCTCGGTGGAGCCCCATCGGTGAAGGTATGTGGGGATCTGGGCGCTGGTCCACATGTCGGTTTCGTCGTGGGAGTATCTTCTTATAGGGGGCACCTGGATGCAAGACACAGAACAAACCCTTCAGTGTTTGAATTACTTTGACTTTTGTTCAGAATAAGTAGGCATTGTGGCACTGCAGGTAAAGAAAGTCATGTTCTAAGTCACAATTATAAAATAGCCTGTGTTACATGTGAAATTCTTGGCTGTAAGTTGCACTTTATCACTTTTTAGTGATAAAATGTAACTCAATAAGCAGTAGCGCTGTATGTTTCTGCAAATATTTGGGTTGAGGCCCATTCAATAAAAATTGTCTCACCATATGCTCAATGCAGAAAACTGGCCGATTTCAAAACTTGTTCAATCTCTGGTGCACTGACTCAGCTGCATTGTTCATGGAAAACCCTACACATTGCACATATACATCATCTGTCCAAGATGTTGCTTTAAAGTTTTCATTAATCTCTCAGACATCTATGAACTTTTTAACATTCTCTCTATATCAACAGGGCTATAACTGAATTAATATGCACTTCAATATTTAAAGATGAACACTGCAAAGGTTAATAGTTCCCTACAGGTTATGGTCACACTTCACCCTGTTCTGACAACTGTGCAAGAGAAAGAGACTGCCCCACTATGGTGGCTTTTAGTCAATGCTGACATGAGACAGCAGACGATACAGTAGCATTGAGTGTGCTACATTGAAGGGACTGAACAGCAGAGGGCAGCAAAAGCATTAGAATGAATTCAGATGCAGGACAGACTTGGCAGAGTGCGGAGAGTGACTCAGCCAACATATCACTAGAGCCATGGGCTTTATTCTGCAGTCAAACCACTTGAGAAATGCCATGGCAGTTCTCAAACAGAGTTGCTACTTGATAATGGCTTGAAGGCTTTTGTTGATTCATGGTCTAACTGGGCCTTAAGCCTTTCAGCAGAAACACAAGTAATGTGACTGTATCACAGTTCAGCCAGTTGTCCTGTAACTGAAAAAAATGCATTGCATTTGATTCACAGTCACACTTATACAGCGAGGAATAACACAATCATATAGCACTTTTCAATCACAGGAATTTAATGTCATGTGAAAAGATGTATTGGACACAGAGACAACTGATGGAGTAATGATTCGACCTACGAAAGTCACAGCTACTGTATGCATCTCTGTTTCAAGGCTTCTTAAAAAGTCATACAAATAGGAGCATTGGTCTTTGACATGTCTATTATAATGCTGGAAATCTGGGGTGTTATACCAATTTATAAAAAAAAACTCAATAAGCAAGTTATTCAGTAAATGCAATCTGATTAGGCTGCAGGCTGCACTGAGAAAGCTGTTCTTGTATATGACAAAGATGACACAGTGTTAAGATGCTTTGTTAGGGTTTATATTGTGTGGTTTGCATCAGTTGTTTCTAAAGTTGCATATCCTCACCACAGTCTTCCAGGCCAAGTCCAGCAGGATTTTCATCATCATCACTACTTTAGTCAGTAATTTTCATTAATATTGACTCCATATCTGATTCTGGGCCAGGATTTGTAGTTTACACAGGTAAGTCAGTACTGAAATCAAAGCAGAAAACAGGGTTTTGTTGAATTACCCTAAAAGGCTGCATGATATAAAAAGCTTTGTTGTCAATGCATGCTGCAAAGAAACATTTCACAGCTCTGCATCTGACTGGGATGGATGCTAGATCCAATGGGTAGAACATGAGCAGATATTTTTATTGCTTTCCTGAAACCTTGAGGGACTCCTGAAATGTAGATGGTAAGTTAGTTACTAAAATCTCACCTCCTCTAACAAAATAAAAATGTAGTCAGTTGCATCTAGGCCCATGGCTACAACACATCAGTCAATACAGCATATCTCATATGTTGATGGGTCTGCCGATGGTCATATTTACCAAACATCAGTCAGCCAGAGTGTATTTTTGATTTGGAAAATATACGTATATATATTTGGGAGAAAGAGCATCACAGAATGCAAGATGCAAGATATTGTAAAGGCCCACAAGGCCATTTTATCATGCACATTAGCAATGAGGTGTCATTTAAACTGATCAAGTAAAAGAAATGAAGAAAATCAATAAAAATATACCTGCAAATACTGCATTTTATCTTCCTGTTGTTCCCTCAATGGATACCCTTGCAGAACCCCCCTTTCTAAGGTTGAGAACTCATACTTGGCATTATGGTCTACCGTCACGATTTCAGGCGCCGAGCTATAGTCATATGGTCTGTCATATATTAAGTCGGCATGAATTCCTCCATCTTGGCTGTTTTCTGCAAAGTGCAGAAAAGCACGAGCGTCAGGATTAGAGAGCAACGGACTCAATACACAAGACAGACAGACAGACAGACGAATAGATAAGAGACAAGTTCACTTGTTTTGTAATGAGTCTGCTCAGCAAGATCAAAAGATGTTTTGCTACAAGACTGATAATTTACAATAATTCAATTTAAATATTTAGGAGGGGATGAAAAAGCCCTAGATTGGGTCAGAATTCAGAAACGATGTCAAATATTTGAAACAAGAAGCCTTGAAAGTACAAGGCTTACATTCTGTACAACAAAATCACACAGTTTCATGTGTACTTAGTGTATTAATACCTGCCTACCAAGTTTATTTTTCCAATTACTGCATTCATGCTCATTAAAGATCAATTGGAGGTGCAAAATGCAGAGCTTGAGAAAAATGTTGAGCAAATGGTAGAAGATGAAAATAGCTATTTGCACAGGCAGCTTGCATTGCAAGTCAAACAGCTTTAGAAAAAGAGGAAATAATCCTTATACATACAGCTGTGATGAATTATACATGACAAGCCCCTTGGTAAATCAGCAAACTGGCAGTGTCAATTATCACACAGAATGTGGACTGCCCTGTGGTGTATTATGACTTCTGGCTGGATAATGATCAGTTATTGGGGAGGGTGTCAAGAGGGATGGGATGAAGAGGTTTGGAGGGTTAGATATAGAAGAGAAGGGGTTTGGATTGGGTGCAGTTTAAAAAAGTGCCAATATAAAGAAATAGATGATTCCTATTGTAATTTCTTAGCATCAGTTGTGGAATTCTGGTCATAGACTCAGTCCACCAACCTTTCGATGATTATCATGTGACCTAACTTTGGGACCAAATATTGATGAAGTGTCTGGGATTTGTCATGAGATTTTTTTTTATTTTGAGCCCCCTGTATTTCTTTGATGAAAGATGCAGGTCTTGGACCACTTTCCTTCTCTATTAGTCTGAAATTTACTAAGTGCAGTTTAATTATGACTTCTGCCTTAAAATGCACAGCATGCTGCGCTTTAAGTCACTGTAATCTGGCCAGTAGGTGGAAGCCAACATCACACAAAGTAAATTAAAACAAACCAAACAAAAGAAAATAACAAAATAAAGATAATCCATTGTATATCTATTTCAGTTATGTTTCCATAAGGTGTATCCCTTTGTGACTTGAGGGAAATATGACCATCATAATGGCATGAAAATGCTTTTCATCTTTGTTCCAGTTTCGCTCTGGATCCTAACAAGTAAATAAGTAAAAAGTTTATTTATCATCATCTCATGCCAGGGTATTCTAGAGGAAGACTGCCTGGAATAAAAAGAAAAAAGTGCTGCAAGGTAAATACAGTATGTCCTTTGTCCATAAATATTTCCTTTCTTTTTTTGCAATGACATCAGTCACTTAGCATGGTGAAGCAAAACATGTTACAAAGTACACACCACATACAAAAACACAGAAAAATATATTTTAGCACACAGACACTTGTCACTTTAGTTTCATCTCTGGACAAGAAAGGTCACATGATAACATTTGACCAGCAAGTTCAGACCTCAAACAACAACAAATTATCATGTCTGTAATAACAACCATTTAAAAGAAACTAAATAATATGCTTTTCCCCTTTTTTTTAAGAAATATCTACAAATAGCCTAAATCATGATGACTACCCATTCCATAATAATTTAACAAGAGTTAAACAACATTCCCCTTAGCCTGAAAATATCATAAATTGTGCTATTTCTATAACTATTTCTTGTGATATTGTTCATTTTATTACTGCATTATAATCAATTATGTCAACCCCTGTACTAAGGCTAGTCCAGGGAGGAAAGCTGTCCATAATCTCCAAAAGAAGGAATATATACTTCACTTACTTTCAACTGTTGTTTTCATAATAACCAATTCCAAGATATAGGTATAAAATATAGGTATAGGATATAGGTATAGATCTGTAGCAAGTTCGGTGCACAATATATTTGGTATCATCCTGTATCATACCTTAAAGCTAGTTCAGATCAATGACTGGGGACAAGCCAAATGAATGAGACTAACACACTGATTAGCATTTCTATAATTATGTAGCATCAGTATCTCTAGAGTCTTGTTAGCTTTTATCTTGGCTGAGCTGACTGAAAATAGATAGCAGCAAATTATAATTGCATAGTTTAATATTTAGAGCACCAAGCGAAGCAGCCACAAAGGCTGAAAATGTGGAGCTGCGGTGATCATGGGTGCTCCAGTGCCAAGGAGCAATTTAGACCTGCATCGTGAGGTATAAACCAGGGATGTATTATTTTCCTTCAATTTCACGGAGTTGTAACGTCTCTTGCAAGAGTAATTTTGACATAATCTTTGACAATATAGGCTTCTGATAAACCCATGATTCTTGCAAACAGATGAGAATGCTAGCTTACAGTCAAGTGTGACAAGATGATCCTGTTGCTAAAGTGATAATTCACCAAAAGAAAAACCAAAAAAACAACAAAAAACATCTATCATTTGGGAATTAAACACTGACCTGTTGTAAACTGAAAAGGTGGCTGGTAACATGAAAACAGTGTTAAAGTATTCACAGAAACTCCCTCCCACTAGTTTTATCTAAAGGCCATCTCCCTGTCCAAATTTCAACCACATTTATGTAATAAAACACTGCGTTTTGATTGGCTACAGAAATATAACTATGTTGCTGACACATATTTCTTTTCACAGTCACATCATCTGAAGAATCTCTGAGACAGTGGCGCCTGCAGAAAATATTTAGTGGGGGAGCCAGACGGGGCCAGTGAAAATCTTGGAGTGGCACACTAAAACGCTTATACAGCGCAGTGGAACTTCAGGCTATGTAAGTCAATAGAAAGGTAACGATGCTGCTTTAGATGATCTATCATCAGATTATGATATTCAGATGAGATCAGCAAGGAATCATTATCAATTCCAATTAATGCTTCATCAGCAATAAATCAATTGTGTGGGCTCTTTAAACATAAAATTCAGTATTAGCTGATAATTTAATTATATTCCGTGCATCAGTATTGTGCAATTTCATAACAACCAACGTGGTATTACAGTTTTATCTCAAAATCACATACAAAAGTAATTTTCTCCCTTTAAAATTCAGACCAGTAATTTTAGGATGGTTTTCCATGGTCCCCCCCTGGCCGCCCCCTGGGGGCGCCACTGCTCTGAGAAAGGCCCATTTACAGTACTACACCTTTTCTCTGCAAAATTCTGATATGCTTGCTTTTCTTGTGGTGAACCTTTGATGTTAACTGGCTTATGTAGGGGTCTGATGATTTAATAAATTTACTTTTTTCATATTTTTTTATCATGACAACTGGATGCATACAGTCTTATGCAAAAGTTTAGGCACCCCTTGATAAATAACAGATTTTGGTGATTTTTTATTTGAACAGATGTTAACACAGTTTCTCTTGGAAATGGAAAAAATGCACAATATTTTCACAAGATGATCCTGTTGCTAAAGTGATAATTCACCAAAAGAAAAACCAAAAAAACAACAAAAAACATCTATCATTTGGGAATTAAACACTGACCTGTTGTAAACTGAAAAGGTGGCTGGTAACATGAAAACAGTGTTAAAGTATTCACAGAAACTCCCTCCCACTAGTTTTATCAAAAGGCCATCTCCCTGTCCAAATTTCAACCACATTTATGTAATAAAACACTGCGTTTTGATTGGCTACAGAAATATAACTATGTTGCTGACACATATTTCTTTTCACAGTCACATCATCTGAAGAATCTCTGAGACAGTGGCGCCTGCAGAAAATATTTAGTGGGGGAGCCAGACGGGGCCAGTGAAAATCTTGGAGTGGCACACTAAAACGCTTATACAGCGCAGTGGAACTTCAGGCTATGTAAGTCAATAGAAAGGTAACGATGCTGCTTTAGATGATCTATCATCAGATTATGATATTCAGATGAGATCAGCAAGGAATCATTATCAATTCCAATTAATGCTTCATCAGCAATAAATCAATTGTGTGGGCTCTTTAAACATAAAATTCAGTATTAGCTGATAATTTAATTATATTCCGTGCATCATATATATATATATATTTTTTTTTTTTTTGTTTTTTTGCTAGTATTTTCTTTTTTTTTAATCATATC